ATGCATATCCTTGCTTAGACTATTAATTAAATTAGCCCTATGTTGTTTTTAGGAATCTACTCAGTAGTGCTTAGATAAGGTTAACTGAATGAATGTATGACATGCAGTCTTAACTTGTCTGTTAAAACTTTCTTTTAGCTTTTACACATCCGCAGATTTGCCCCTGACTTATCCAAAAGACCCACATGGTTTCTCACGCCATTCAGGATTTTCCTAGGATCTGGGACCATAGGTGTCATATTAAGGATTATTTTGAATGCACTCAAAGTTAATCCAGCCAATCATGCAGGCCTTGGGAAGATGTCGCACCAAAAGAGTGCATTAAAACCAAATTAAAGTGTTTTTATGATCTTTCGATGTGCTTAGTTTTAAAGTCAGAGAAGCAATAAACTGTTTAGGTCCACTGATGATATATTTTTTTGGTCAAAGAAGGGATTTGATTTGATAAAGTTATAAAGCTATTGGGAGAAATCACATCTGACAAAAAAAAAAGGCTCCTACAGAGATGCAGTGTGTTGCCACCCTCTGCTGATTATATAAACACACTGCAGGCTTAATATGAGTCCAAACCATTTGACATGGGGTGCGTTCTATTTCAGGGGCTGCGTCCTCCAAAGAAATGTTTTACCTGGACTGGGTTCTTCGAGGTCTGTGAAAATAAGTAGGCCGGAAGCCTTATCTATAAATTTGAATGGTCAAGCCTTCCCCTTTTGCCTCCGCCCATCACTCAGTGTAAGATGCATCACCTAGCAGACATTACACTTCCCTATGTAACTTGCTATGATCCCAGGTGTGTATATAAATATATATGTATATATTATATTACAGATATTATAGATATCTGATGCTGAGAATTAATCATGTTCAGGTAAAGTAAATTCCATCATTGTTTTTGTTTGCGTAACTAGGAAAATACCTGCAGTGTAATACAGTGAACGGTGTACTGTAACTTTAGTGATTCTACATACTTTAATTATTGATTTTTTTTCCTCTGTACTTGAGTAGGCTTTTTAACAAATACTCTCTCTACTTTGACTGGAGTAATATGTTTAAAGAACAAATTGTTCCCTTTAACCTGAGTAAGAATGTGATTAAGTCATTTTACACTTGAGTAGCATTTGTGGGTACTCTATCTACCTCTGGTGGAAATGTGTTTGAAAAATTTGACCATTTGTTGAATGAACGATGAAGACTCACCATCAATAAATCACTTTCACATGAACTTAATATATTTTAAACAGAATTGGAAAATAAAACTAATTTATTTGCTATTTTTTCCATAATCAAAAAGAGTCTGTCCATCCTTTCTTGTACTCTTCTCTCCTCCACCTCCCTTTGAAATGTCAGGTCTTCTTTGATCAGGTCGAGCAGCTCTCTATTGTCATCTTTGCATCTTTTAGGGCACTTTCTGGCTGCTGGCTCTGTCTCTTCCTCTCCATGGTCAGCCACTGCTGCACCTAGCCCTGGGGTGTACATGGGGATGAAAGAATACAGGACAGGGGGTGTGTTGGAAGCCCTCTATCCTAACACGTCGTCCATTTGGACAAACCAGGGCCAAGTAGCAGCAGTGGGTTTCCACTCACTCCTCCTGACTTTGGGAACTTGTAGTCCTATAGACAGACAATACAACACTCAAAGCTCAACAGCAATATTTGATGATGTGTGTTTCGTTGTTTGTCAAAGCAAAAGCAAAACTTAGATACTTTGTACTTTTTTTTTTTTTAGGTGGTCCCATTTTTTCTTGGCCTGCAAGGGACTCACCTTTCCCTGCAGCCCCATCTTCTCCAGAATCATTCTAGTACATACAGGACATGACAATAGCAATTCCTGGATCACAAATGATATCTAGTATATAGTATTGTCATAAGGAAAAGGGAATATTACATGAGTCTTTACATGGGTTTTGTTATGTTATTTATGAAAAAGGGGCAGAAATTTGGGTTTCTGTACCCAAGCTGGGTTCTTGGCCCCAGAGAAGAGTTCTTCATTTTCCCCACATAGCTTTATGAAAAGCTCTTTCTGCTTCTTGCTCCCTTTAAGAAATACATCTTTAAAATGACTTCAACCATGTATTTTTGCTGGAATTCAGGTTCTTGTCTTTTCATGCAGAAACATTATTACAACTACATCTTTACATCGACAAAAAAGATATCAAGGCTTCAGCAGGATTACAATTTTGACATGTATTCAGGAATGATCTGATATGTTCTATTATGTTTTATGGAAGAAATGTATGGAATTAGAAAGGAAAGTAGGACTTAAATGCACTATTAACGTGGGAAAAACGTGGGAAAACATGGGGAGTATAAAGATTGAACTCACTTTTTATGTTTTAAATATTTTTGGCTCCTGCAGGTTATTGCATTTCACCCCAGCAGCCACTAAGGACAGCAGAGGCCTGTTAATCACATGTTTATTAAGGGAGGGAAACACCTGAACATAAAGGACAGTGGGTCCTGAGGAGCAAGTTTGAAAACCATTGTTATGAAGCAGTTTTATTATCTTGTACATTTAACAAACACATAAGGTGTATTTGCAAAATAAATCATTTTGCCAATACCAGACTTTATTTTACTCGGTATCGAATCGTAAAGGAAACTGGTGGTATCAAACAAATTTAGGAAGATGGTTTAAGGGAAAGAATCTGTTCATTTTTATATACAGCCATTTGACTGAATAAAAATAACAAAAGGTCATGATTTAAAATAGTGATTTGTTTGTCAGCCTCAAAGTTCACTCCAAGCTCAGATCAAAACTTGAAAGCCCTACTTTTATCAGTCTAATCTATTTTGAGTTGCTTTTTTTCATCTTTATTTACAATCCACCCAAAACTTAAACTACTTTTTCACTTTACATGTGAACGTTACTAAGCTGCTGATAAGGGTATCCCCTCCTGTCGCACATGGATGACGTCGCATTTTCTATTTACTAAGGAACTGCCCCTTTGGCTTCGTTGTAGCATTTTTTCTAATTCTGAAACTCCATAACATCTGCTTGCCAGACAGGTACGACAGCTGTCTCTATTGCCTGCACCCATTATTTAAACTGTAAACACCTCAAATGCGTTTGTCGACAATTGAAACGAACGCTGAAGACTGCCTGACAGTTTAGCTTGTTGCTCAATGTAAGGGCTAACTAGCTACCTGCTAACCAGTTAGCTAAGCAGTTTTAACTGTTACTTGCTTTTGCGAACACAACTGTTTGTTGCTGTAATGCCATTTTTAGAGTAACACGAAGTTAATCGGATGGTTGATGGAATAAGCGTTTGCGTTTATGTTTAAATTGATTAATAATCATATCGTAACAGGTCTGTTAATCTGCTGACAGGTGAGCAGGATGGTGGGGTAATGACAGTGTTTATCAGATCTGGTTCACCAATTACTCTGTATTTATTTATCTATTTTCTGTTTTTACATCTAATCTATTCACCAGTTATTTCTTTAATTTATTATTTTCTGCTTTTGTCATTTTCCAGCAAATATTTTACCAACTACTATTATTAAGTTAGCATTCTTTGTATTGTTTTTTTTTTTTTTTTTTTTTTTTTTTTTTACATCAACGCCTTTGCAATTTCTCAGAACATGAAATTATATTTAAACTACCATATCTAGTTAATTGCGATATTTTGCATTTTCATAACAGAGGCCTGAAGCTTTTTCACCTGATATGGAAAGACGTTTAATAACGTTTTCAAATACTGCAGAACTACGCAAGCTGTCCGAAACCTGCATACATAAACCTGAATGTATTTTATTGGCTTTTTAATCTGATTGACCATTTAACATCACATTTCACTGAAAAGTGGAAGTAAAATAATGCATTGTCTCAGAATGTTTTACTAATTGATTTAATGTGTTTTACATAATCAGCCTTTTTTTTCTTATACCTTAGAATTCCTAATCCAATGCTGCCAGTTGCCATCAGCAAACACTGAACAGTGTGTTGCCTTCCAGTACAATGCCAACTCTAAACAGAGCTACAGTTCAACATACCAAATTGTATTCATAGGCTTGAATGGCCCGCTCAAATTTATATCCTAAATTCAATGGCTTCCTCATCTAGTCTGAATGAGGTTGATTTACTAATCAAAATTTTAGAATTATACATATCCCAAAAAAAAAAGTGTGTGTGTATATATACTCTTTTTTTTTTCCTGATCAGAATCATTTGCATCTTTTTGTTTCACTTAGCATTTCCATAAAACAAACTAATATTTGTGGTGGTCATGAGAGGAATCCCAAAGCTTATTGAAAAAATCTGAAAATGAACCAACCAGCACATGAAATATGAGGTATGATTCATTTTCCAAGGTTCATCCTGATTGGATAGGTTTTTTATACAGTTATGTTACATTACTGGAGAAATTTAATTGTGTTGTTTTATTTATAATGTAAGTGCTTAGTAACACAACTGGACACTGCAGACATAGAAATCTGCAGTATATATGGGTGTGAGGCTAAACAAACATGCTAAAGATTTAAAGATAATGGAGGATTTCACTTGATGTATAGTTGTTTATTAACCAAACTCAAGAACGATTAATATGACCTTAGATTATTTGACCAGAAAAAAACAACAACAAATGTAAGATTGTTGTTGTTGTTTTAAAAGTAGCCAGTCAATATTGATTACATTCAGACTCAGGGCACGTTTTCAAAGAAACATCTTGATAGCATCCAATTTTTTAAGGACTATAAAGTATAATGGGTTTATTGTACACCTTTAGTTTTGATTCAATAATTAAAATGAACATAAAAGAAGAAAAACATTCCTCTCATTCTTTGACAGAAGTGATGCAAGCGACAGGATTAAATGCATGACCTATTTTTTTCCCCTATATTTTATTAACTTTGCATTATTTAATCCTGTTTTAAAAGTGAGAATATGACATTATCAATGTGACATCTTATGCAATCATTTGAACACATTTTTATATCTGCTTTCCGCTTCTCCTTTTAAGGCTGGGATCTTAAATGGAGTAGGAGTGGAGCCCCGGTGAGATGACTGACCAGGGCAACAATAATCACAACATCTCCTGCAACCCCTTTGCTGCCCTCTTTAGCTCACTGGCTGATGCCAAGCAGTTTGCATCAAGCCAAAAACCACAACAGCAGTCTGCTCAACCGCCCTGTGAGTACAGTTAAAAGACTCTTCATTACAAAATACACACACTGAATGTTGCACACAGATGTGATGCAGTGTACTTTTCTGATCTCTTCTTTTTGTAGAACGGTTGAATAACAGTAATCACCACATTGCAAACTTATTTTTACTTTTTGAGGGAAAAGAGTAAAACTGTGGCAAACTGATATATATATGTATGAATTGGGCCTTTAGTGAAAAATATACAATAATTGTGAAGTGTAACAGGCTTTGTCTGTCTGCAGATGGGATATATGCTTTTCATACTGCAGATATTGACTTTTGTATGACTGCTGATTGGTTTTGCTTCTTTGTTTTTATTCCATCCAGTATCTGCTTGCTACCAGCTTTGTTTTATCTAAACCTCTGTGCAGTTTCATCAGGACAGGGCCCAGTACCATGAATGTGAAGCTTTATTTATGGATTCGAAATGTCTTTTTTTTTCCAGTATCAAATTATTATGCTACATATTTATATTACAATTTAAAAACAGCTATACAATCCATTAGCAACTCTACCTGCCTTAAATACTCATACCTAATGTTAGATGCAAAGATACTAAAACTCACAACTATATTATCTCACAATATAACACCATGACAAATGTGCGCAAATAATTTTAACACTAGTCTCTCTCTTTCTGCTGGTATAGCGGAGGACTCTGGAGACAGCCAGTCAGAGTCTGAGAATTCTGTCTCTGACAGTGTCGACGACAACGATGACTCCGTGGCAGAGATCAGCCGCTCCTTCCGGTCCCGGCAGGAGCTCTGTGAGCAGCTCAATGTCAACCACATGATCCAGAGGATATTTTTAATCACTCTCGATAACAGTGAGTATAAGCTGATGATCTAGCTGCCATCTGTAACTTGGATGAACCCAGGCTGTGATGTCATGTGGAAATTTGAAATATTATACTCAACAGCACAGAGAAAATCCATTTGGATTGAGATGACAAGGCTGTGCAGCGTTCAAATCTTTCAAAGATGTTTTTATTTCCAAATATCAAGCAGAATGGGCAAAAACATTTTGTATTTTAAGGGTTTTAGTTACTTTTAACTCTCTAAAAATGATCTCTTATAATCTCATGATGTTGACATCATGTTTCTTGAAGTCACTTCGTCCCATTTTTTCTGACATATTCTTAAATTCTTTTATATTTTTGAAACGTTACATTACATGCAGCTGGAAAGGATATCGGCAGAGAAAGGCCAGTAAAGGAGGCCTTCCCTGAAGGTCTGTCTCTCTAATAAAAAGGGGAGTTGAAAACCGGAGGCTTTGCTGATGACGCTACTGATTATAAATAGCTGTGGATTCCACTTTCCTCCAGGGACGTTACTTGATGCAGCTCAGCTCAATATCTTGAAAATCAAAATCCAACCTTCCAGTGAGGAAGAGATGAGTCACCATGCTTTAAGACCTCCATCCTTACAAGGTTTCACTTTGAGCCGGCTGGGTCTTTTTATCACTCAGGCTGCTCAGAAATGAGTCATAATGTTCGAGAAATGTATGCCCCCCCCCCCCCCCCCCCCCCCAACCCGCCTTTTGTCTTTGCTTATTCCCACCAATAGTAGTTCTCCATCTCTGTGATCGGTGCACTATGATCACAAAGGATGACATAGTCAGCAACAAGCTCAGAAGGCTTTGATGTTTAGGTATAGTGGAGGATTTTCATAAAATTTTTAAAAGACCTACCCTCACCATTTAAAAAAAAAAAAATGCACATGCCCAACCCTGTACCTGCTCCCGTGAGGAAACACCTATTAAACACGTGTGAGAGAATGCGTGAGACAATTTCTCTTTGTGCACGCTCCGTTTAAAAGTTGCTGTTCTCATAGCTCATACAATCTTACTGTATCTGAACGTCCGCCCTAACCCCTGAATCCCTCAATCACTACATAGAGCAGGGATCGCCATCTTTATTAGTCACTGCTGTCGGGTAGCAACAGCCTATGGCAACAAATGCTTTGTGAGGAGGGCTCTCCGTGCAAAGCATTTTGGGATATATCTTCCTCTTCTGAGGCCTTTCTTTTCTTCTCATTCATTTTATAGACACTTTTTCTTTTACGACCCTCTGCCATTTTCAGAGAACCTCGGTGTGAAAGGTAAGCTTCAATGACTATCTGAAACCGTAGCTCACCCACCATTTATGCCTGAAAGTGCGCATGTGCAGAAAAAATAGCCAACGGGATGAGCACGTAGGACGGCCTTACGTAAACATATGACCAGAATGATTGACAATTAGGAGGACCACTTGTTTAGACGATCCCCCCTGACATGAAATATTGTCCTCCATACCTTTTAAATGACCCTTGATTGGTACTATGGAACCCTATGTAAACAATTAACTGATAGCACCGCCAACTTAGACTGTTTTTAAGCCATTTTCTGAGCATAATATTTGGATGCAGCTGTATAAAATGGTAATCTCATCAGGTATTGTTTTTTTGTGAATTCTGGCTTAATTTCCCTCTACTTTGCTCACAGAGTTGGGCTTCTACTCCTGGTTCATATGTTGGTTGAAACAAATGCAGTGCCCTTTAAATCCCCTCTTCAGCAAGTTGTATTCTCATTTGATGTCTTAATAATTTGAGTCTCTTCCATGTGAATGGCTGGTGGCTGAGTTTGTGCTAGCGATGAACAGATTTAAACACCTGGGGCCAGTATTGATATTCAATATTAATACTTCCTTTATGGCAGATAGCCTGTATTTATTAATATTATATATCAGGTTTCATTGCCTTTGCAGACCTGCTTGCTTCTCTGCTTCAGTTTAAATCCCACCACCCTGAGCTACATCAGTCAGTGTCTATCCTGAAACAAAAACTACAACTACATCACAATAAATATTGGTGTGCCCTGTTTTTCTTATTAGACTGATACTGACATGCTTAAAATGGCAGTTAGCCCACTCTGACATTAATGTTGGTATTTCCTGCATCAACAGTTTGTGCCAATAAGCAATTGAACAGGTATACTTAATAGAGGCCAGGCAGTGCAGATTTTATTGGTTAGCTGTAGGTTTAATTTTGCTTAATTGTGTTTTTAATCATTCAAATTGGGATGGGCGGTTAATAAAACATATTTCTGTGGTGTGAAAAATGGAAAACACACATTTATTTCTACTCTACGTTGCCTTTCATTAAATTCTGTTTTTTTTTTTTTTTCACACTAGGTGATCCCAGTCTGAGAGGAGGTAATGGGATCCCTCCTCGGTGTGTTTACTTGGAAGAAATGGCTGCAGATCTGGATGGTCAGGACTGGCTGGACATGGACAACATAGAGCAGGTTATAAAGCACTATAATTTTTTTGAAGTATATGGAAAACACAGTTTATAAATATTTCTTTTATTTCCAATATGGCCACATTTGTTCCAATTTAAACTTCATAATTTTTCCTTTCTGTATTGTTTTTATTCTTGTTTGTTTTGGAGGGTCTTGTTTTTAGTACTGATATATTTGTATCTGATTGTTTTTGTTTTCCTATCACTTTTGCTGCTATAGGCTAGGAAATAAAAGATAATTTTATTTCATTCATTTATTTCTCTTTTTATTCTCTTCTTCTAATGAATGCAGCTTGACCATTTAATCTATTCCTCAAGTCCCAGCCTTATTCTGTACCAAATCACTTCAATGTCATCCCCTGTTTCTTTCATTTCCTACCCAGAAAATATTTAATCACCACATATTGAACATCTAATATATGAATTTATTTATTTTGGTAGTTATCTTTGATGAATTATAGAGACAGTTTGTAAAAAAAAAAAAAAAATCATTATAATTGAAATAATTCGTATGGTATTTTGTAAAGATGTTTTAACCAAACTCTGCTTCCATGTAAAAGGATTCTGATCCACATTTGTAATTTGACTATAGTGAAAACAGACTATGATCTATAATAAAAGATATCTCTGAGCAAACTCTCCTCGAACCGGTCAGTAAAGCAGGTTTTAATCCAATGGCAAGTGGAAATAACAGATGAAATAGCAAAGTGTCCAGCTCTTTTAAAAAGGTTGAATATAATCAATTTTTCTGCATTTTGTTTTGTAGCATTGTCTTTAAAATGTTACTTCCTAGCTTATAGCGGCAAAAGCTATAGGAAAACAAAAACACTTGTATACACATCTATCAGTAATAAAAACAAAACAATAAACACAATAAACAAGAATTAAAAAACAATACAGCAAGAAAAAATTAGGAAGTTTAAATTTGAACAAATGTGGCCATATTGGAATACAAAAAAGATTTATATACCGTGTTGATTAAGACTATAGAAGATTAATTCTATGGAGTAAAATGTGCTTAAATGTGTTCTTATTTCTTTTTTTCTTTAGGCTGTGTTTAACCGCCTGTTGCTATTAGAACCAGGAAACCATCTCATTTACATGACATCCTGCAGTGCAGTGAACCTCTCTGCTGACCGGGATGCAGGAGAAAAATGTGCCATCCCTTACCTTTTTGCTTGTTACCAGAGAGCCAAGGAGGAGGTGTTTTTTTTTTTTTGTAAACTACAACAACAAGCTCTTTACTGTAGCTGGTACATAAACATCACCAATCGTCTCCTTAACTTACTCACTTCTGTTCCATCTTTGCTCCAGTTGACAAAGGTTCCTGAAAAGTTACATTCATTTGCTGTCCGCTGCAAGAACCTGACTGTGTCCAACGGGCGAACTGTTCTGCTCACTCCAGAGATCTACGTCAATCAGAATATCTATGAGCAGCTGCTCGACCTGCTGCTCCAAGGTTTCACTGCAGCACGTAGGTCCAGCTTTAGGGATAAGATTTCTTATTGTTTCAGCTTTGATCTTCACTTGTGCTCAATGTTTGTTTTCCCATGTGTTCCTGGTATTTTAGGGCCCGAGGAGGTGGTTGAGTTTGTAGAAGAGGTCATTGCAGGTCTGCTGTCAGACCAGGAGGTGCGTACCTTTGAGGAGGTGATAGTCCCAGTCTTTGATATCTTCCAGGGGCGCATTAAAGACTTGGACCTCTGCCAGCCTCTGCTCTACTTCTATCTGGATGTCCTCCTTTATTTTAGCCACAATAAGGATATTGCAAAGGTTAGGAAAAAAAATCACATTTTATCTCTACCTGATTTGGCCCACATTATTATGAAACGGTCCTTTAACATGGTCCTGTTTGGTTCCTACAGGTGTTGATGGAGCACATACAACCCAAAGACCCAGCTAATGGTCTGCATTACCAGAAGAGCCTGCTGGGGATGGTTTTGAATATATCCTGCTTGCTGAAAACCCCAGGCGTTGTAGAGGGGCATGGCTACTTCCTGAACCCTTCTCGCTCCAGTGGCCAGGAGACAAAGGTCCAGGAGGCCAACATTCACCAGGTATTTTTTTATCTATCAGTCTTGTTGGATTTCTTTTTTTTTTTTTATAAAAAAGGAATTTAAACTTTGCCTTCTTTTTGTTGCAGTTCATGGGTCAATATCACGAGAAACTGCACCAGATCATGAAAACCCTCCTGCAGCGGTCTGCCGAAACACGCCACTTGCTGCTCACCTGGCTCGGCAACTGTCTGCAGGCCAATGCAGGCCGAGCTAAGATCTGGGCCAACCAGATGCCAGAGATCTTCTTCCAAATGTATGCCTCGGATGCATTTTTCCTCAACCTGGGCGCTGTTCTCCTGAAACTCTGCCAGCCTTTCTGCAAGCCTCATTCATCTAAGCTGCTCACTTTTAACCCCACTTACTGCGCGCACAAAGATGTGAGCGAAGAAGAGCGGCGAAACCGCAACATCCACGCAAGAGGTCAATATATACATAAATGCATATTCCCCTGAGCATTTACACATTCACACTGCATCATAACAACCAACGTTTATGTATTTGGGATTTTATGACAAATCTATATGAACCACCACACAATCGTTTAGTGGAATGAGCTTAAAATACAAATGTTTGTTTATTCTATAGCATAAATTAGCTTTGATCTAAGCTGTGGATCTCTGCAGCTCCTTGGATTTCTTGGCTACTACATTGATTAATGTTCTCCTTGCCTGGCCTCTCAGTGTAGGTAGGTGTCGACATCTTGGTAGATCTGCAGTGGTGCCAGACTCATTACTAATTATGGATTAATCGGTGCTCTGGGAGAAATCCACAGCTTGTTAAATCATTTTTTTTAACCACACCTTCCTTTTAAGCCTATCCATGACTTTATTTCTGACCCGTTTGCTGTGCTCCTTAGTCTCCATGATGCAGTTAAACCATTTCAAAGAGATTTACCCTTCAGACCAAATTAAACATTGATGCGTAGATCAGTGGGGAAACATTTTTCAGGAGTATATTGAACCCACAACTTTCGGATTGCAGCAGTTACCCACAGAATAATAAATAATGGACTGTTAACAGCAGTGTCTTTCTTTTTAGTTACTAGTTGGCTAAATGCAGTTGACTTCTGTGGATTTTATTTGGGTTTGTCAGAGTAAAGGCAGCTGAATACAGATGCAAACACTTTGGAGGATATCTATAGCAATAAAATGGAAGCCTTGAATCTTTCATCGACTTTACAAATTAACATCACTTTGCGTTGGTTCATTACTTATGATCCCATTCAATAAAATACATTTAGGTTTGTGTTTCTTAACTGGTAAAATGAGGAAAGGTTCAAAGGTTGTGAATGAATTCATAAAGCTGGTGTTTGTTCATTAAGGATAAGTGTTTCTTTCCCAGGTCTCGACAAGGAGACCTGCCTGATCCCATTGCCTCCTCAGCACCAGGTTGAGTTTGCACAATCCTACAGCCTACTGACTGAAAACCTCATCTTCACACAGCTCACTCTGCATCTTGGCTTTCACAGGTACAAATGACTACCAGTATGTTGTTTAAACAAAAGTAGTATTTGTTAAATAACAGCTTTCACATTAACACCAGACTTACATTCCCGTCACGCTTGTTGTTGTTAAATCCTCTGTGTGGTTTGCCTCTCCAGACTGCATGAGCAGATGGTCAAGATGAACCAGTCTCTCCACCGGCTCCAGGTGACATGGCAGGATGCCCAGCGAGCTGGCAGCCCCATGTCAGAGCAGCTCTTGGAGCAGTTTGAGCGTCTGATGATGGTTTATCTGTCAACCAAAGCTGCCACTACACAGCCCGTCATGCTGCAATGCTGCCTTAACCTCCAAGCTTCCACTGCTGCTCTGCTAGTTCAGCTTAGCATGGGAAACCAGGGGCCCGAACATGTAGCACTCAGCTTTCCTCTGGCATCCCTGCACAGCTCCATGCTCTGCTATGTACCTGGTAGGTTAGAGTTAGTAGAGTGACCTCGAAATGATATGAGTATGTCAGCTCTGTGAAGGATTTTTCAAATAGCTGCTGCTGTGCGTTATTATGGTAATGCCAGAAGTTCCAGAATGCAGTGGTGATGGGTAACTCTGTTCTTTTATTTTTTTTTTATTAGAGTTTTTTGCTGAAAACATGGGAGACTTCTTCATCTTCCTGCGACGCTTTGCGGACGATGTCTTGGAGACGTCTGCAGAAAGTCTTGAGCAGATCCTTAACTTCATAACAGTCTTCATGGGAAACGTTGAGAGGTTCGCCTTTGGTCATAAAATGGGGAGCTGGGTTGTAGTTTGACTGGCAGCTGGAGCAGCTCTGTGGCAATGTCTGCAGCTCTGCTCTCTACATTTAAGAAAAGCATTCGTTGAATACTCCTTTTTGGCTTTTTAGAATTTGAACAAGTCAAATGTGGGAATTTGATCAATGTTTTTCTTAAAATGTCGCATCATTGGAAAGCTTAGACTTCACTATTTTAACATCTGCCAATCAAAATGGTCCTGGAAGACTTGTTCATCGATTTATCAAACCGTGTCATGTTCATGTATGTAGGTGAGCAAGTATTTATCAGTTTTTAAGCCTTTGACTTCATTGCTTATCTTTTAACTGTGCAACAGGATGAAGAATCCTCATTTAAGAGCAAAGCTAGCAGAGGTGTTAGAAGCTGTGATGCCTCACATGGAGCCCCTGGCTCCTGGTGCTGCTCAGCCAATCGTTTTCCAGAGAGAGAGAGTCTTCTGCTCCTATGTTCATGCACCTCAGCTGGCTGAGGCCCTCATCACTGTGTTTGTTGACATTGAATTTACAGGTAAGTAAAATCACATTTCAATTAGTTTGATCTTTTTCGCATTATCATCTAGTTAGTAAATAATTCTATAAATATTTGTAGGGTAGTAAGGTGGATTTTGATGTTTCTCTGCATTTCCTAACAGGAAACGATGAGAAGCTGATTAAGGTGAAACAAATCTAGCTTTTTGACTTTCTGCTTGTTTTTACTCAGGCGATCCTCATCAGTTTGAACAGAAATTCAACTACAGGAGACCCATGTATCCGATTCTGAAGTACATGTGGGGCAAAGAGAGCTATAGAGAGAGCATTAAGGTAATTAAATTTAAATTGAATCATCTCAATGTTTAAAAAAATCAAAAGTGGGTGGGATGATGCAAACAAGTTTTAAGTAGAAACCCTAATATTTAAGAGATTTTTTTGAAATGATTACTAGTTTAGTTGTTTGCTTTCCCAGTATCCAGTTAAAACCCAAAAGCAGATGTTACGCAGAATTTTATGAATAATTCAACCTGGATCTGGTTAATTGTTTTATTTATTTATATATATATATATATATATAAATATAAGTGTTCAGACCCCTTTACATTTTTCGCTCTTTGTTTCATTGCAGTCGTTTGATAAAATTAAAAACGTTGATCTTATTTCTCAATAATGTACACTCAGCACCCCCTCTTAATAGAAAAAAAAACTGATATGTAGAAATTTTTGCAAATTTATTAAAAAGGAAAACAAACCGAAATATCAAATAGTCATAAGTATTCAGACCCTTTGCTGTGACACATTTAACTCACATGCTGTCCATGTCTTCTGATCCTCCCTGAGATGGTTCTGCTCCATCATTGGAGTCCCATCTGTGTTTAATTAAACTAACTGACCTTGGTTAGGAAAGGCACGCACCTGACTATGTAAGACCTTAAAGCTCACAGTGCATGTCAGAGTAAACAAGAATCAAGAGGTCGAAGGAACTGCCCAAGGAGCCCAGAGACAGAATTATAGCAAGGCACAGATCTGGCCAAGGTTACAAAAGAATTCTGCAGCACTCAAGGTTCCCAAAAGCACAGTGGCCTCCATAATCCTCAAATGGAAGAAATTTTGGACAACCAGAACTCTTCCTAGACCTGGCCAACCAGCCAAACTGAGCAATCATGGTAGAAGAGCCTTGGTGAGAGAGGAAAAGAAGAACCCAAAGATCACTGTTACTGAGCTCCAGAGATGCAGTAGGGAGATGGGAGAAAGTTACACAAAGTCAACTATCACTGCAGCCCTCCATCAGGTAACTTCAGGTCTCTGGAGAGATCTGAAAATGGCTATCCACCAACACTCGCCATCCAACCTGACAGAACAGCAGGAGAAGATCTGCAAGGAAGAATGGCAGAGGATCCCAGAATCCAGGTGTAAAAAAAGTTGTTGCATCATTCCAAGAAGACTCATGGATGTACTAGCTGAAAAAGGTGCTTCTACTCAAACTGAGCAAAGGGTCTGAATACTTGTGATATTTCAGTTTTTCTTTTTTAATAAATTTGCAAAAATTTCTACATTTGTTTTTTTTATATCAAGATGGGGTGTGGAGTGTACATTAATAAGAGATAAAATTAACTTTTTTTATCATATGGCTGCAATGAATCAAAGAGTGAACATATTTAAAGGGGTCTGAATACTTTCCGTACCCGCTATATGTATATTGGAATATTTTGAGTGTAGCCTAATCTTTTATTTATTTTTATTTCTTCCTCTGGGATTACTTTTTTCAGCATTTAGCAAACTATGCATCTGAGAACCTGGAGGCCATGAACCCCCCTCTGTTCCTCCGGTTTCTCAACCTGCTGATGAATGATGCCATCTTCTTACTGGATGAGGCCATTCAGGTGATACAAAATAGTTCTCAATAAGTTTGAACATTTTTGTTCTATGTGATATTTTTTCACTCAACATTGTGTTTTTTTTTTGTTTGCTTCTTTTAGTACTTAAGTAAAATTAAGATTCTGCAGCTGGAGCGTGACAGAGGGGAGTGGGAGAACCTGGCCCCTGATGCCAGAAGAGAAAAAGAGTCGAGTTTGCAGATGTTCGGACAACTGGGGCGCTTCCATAACATCATGTCCAATGAGACTATTGGCACACTGGCCTTTCTGACCTCAGGTCAGGCAGGAAAGACTTACTGCATGAAATAATATGGTGTTTAGTTAATCACTCCATATATTGACCTCCACATTCAACAAAGTTTCAAATTTAGCCTGAAAGTGCTTCATACACAAGTATGAAACTAAGGGAGCCCATACACCCCACTCATACACCCCAAAACCTGAAGAGGAAGTTCTTGTCAGTCACTCTGATTTCAAGAGGATCTTTAAGATGCACCCATTTTCTGATAATATTGATACCTACAAAGATACATAAATAAAACAGATGTATACGTTTTCAATGACTTCCTGTAGAAAAATAATTTGGGAAAGTATTTGGAAAAAATATATTTCCTACAGAATTGTTGGTTATTGACAAATCCTTGGTTTGAAGAGCTGAACCAGAAAATTTTTTTCATTTTTGAAGTTCAAACAGATTTTATAATCACTGGCAGCCCTAAGTCCTTATTGTTTAGAACCTGATACCCCTGTTCTAAAGAAATGGAATACCAGTGGTGACTGAGTCTGAAAATCAACTGGGATAGATTAGTAGTAATGACTCAGAGCACACGAGCTTGCAGCATTACTAATACTGTTGGTTTTTATTTGAATTTATATTGATTTTTCTCGCCATTATATTGTGGTTAGTCACCGTTAAGTGCAAGGATGCTGGATTCAAGGTTTTCAGGGGATTAATAATAAAAGCATCCGACAGGGGAAAAAAAAGAATGAGCAATGATCATCATATTTATTAAGTTCTATGGTTGATTTGTAGTTTAGGTATTTCCTAAACTATGTTTTTTTATTTTTTAATCATTTTTCTCTCAAGTTTCTAACTGAAAGTGCTAAAATAGCTTTAAAGATGTATTTAAAATTAGATGATTTTGACCTTATGTTTAGAGTTATTGTTAGAAGTAAACCTGTGGTTTGTGTTTTAATAAAGTCCTTCTCTTATTTTCTTCTATTTCTATTTCTTTCTCAGAAATCAAGGGTATCTTTGTGCACCCGTTTCTGGCTGAGAGAATCATCTCCATGCTGAACTACTTTCTGCAGCACCTGGTTGGTCCAAAAATGGGTGCACTTAAAGTCAAGGACTTCAGTGAGTTCGACTTTAAGCCGCAGCAGCTCGTTTCTGACATCTGCACGATCTACCTAAACCTGGGGTATGTTGGAAACATTTGGCTCCTAAATTATTCTAATTAATTAAAGATTATTTGTTTAAATTATCTATGTTTTCTCTATAGGTGAGGTAGAAATCCAAGATTAGAAGGAAAATAAATTAGACTAAAAATCTCATCAATTGTTTGTGTTTTTTGCAGTGATGAGGAGAACTTCTGTGCCACTGTCCCAAAGGATGGACGCTCATACTCGCCTACACTCTTCTCCCAGACTGTTCGTGTGCTAAAGAAGATCAACAAGCCCGGCGACATGATTGTGGCGTTCGGCCTCCTTGCAGATAAAATTAAGGTATCATTTTACTTGGAAGAATGGCAGAAATGGAAAACATTGTTAATCTGAATAGCCAACGATGACAACGGCAGGAAATATTTGTTTTCTTAATAGATTGTTTTTCTTCTTTTTAGTCCCATGCTGATAGGCAGCAGCAAGAAGAGGAAACCTATGCTGATGCCCCAGATGAATTCTTGGACCCTATTATGTCCACCCTGATGTTGGATCCTGTCCTCCTCCCCTCTTCCAATGTAACTGTTGATCGATCCACCATTGCAAGACATCTCCTCAGGTTTGTTGTCTTGTCTTATTGTGTTTGGCTGAAGTAGATGTTAAAAAAGGGAAAGGAAAAACCCCTAACAGCTAAGAACAGTAAAGTTGAACTAAAGGTGCCTCAGATTGAGGACCAGGAAGACCTGAACACTATCCAGGGATATAGCTGGGGTTGTACTCTGAGATCTGTCTGCTTTTCATCAAAGTGATGAATGACTGTGAAATTTTTGAAATCAAAAATATCAAGATTTCTGAAGAGTTTAGTGGAAATGTTTTAAATGGGAGTGTTGGCCTAGTGGTTATAGCAGTGCGCCTGTGCTTTGAGAAGGTTGCAAGTGTCCTGTTGGATCCCCACAGCCTGCACTCTGTGTCTCTGAGCAAGATCCTTAACCCTTCACTGCTCCCCGGGCGCCGTACAATGGCAGCCCACTGCTCCCCAAGGGGATGGGTCAACAACAGAGATACATTTCTCTACTGTGAGATCAATAAAGTTAAATTATTATTTATTATTATTATTATTAAACCTGTTTACAGTGCTGACCTGCATTGGTATCCTGACACGGCAGGCATCAGCACTCCTGTTTGCCTCAAAACCCCGCATCATTAAAAGGACCGAATATAAATGAGTCATTTAGTAAACCATAAAAAAAACTATTGCTAACTTAAAAAGAAGTGTTTTTTCTTTATTTATTTTTTTATACTAATTTGGGTAAGAGGTTGGGGGGAGTTTCTGTGGAACCTGTTTATTGTTCCCAAATTGTTGATTTATTTAGTAACGTGATCTATATATATCTGCAGAATTTTTTTTCTGAAAAATGTCAAATAAAAAGTACACCTGAACTATCTTAAAACAACCATTTTCTCTGAAGAATCTTATGCCAAACAACATCTGTCATTGCTTTTATGGTCTGGCTGTTGACTCACTGCTCAAGCTTTCTGTCTTTAGTGTTGTATGATATCTGTTGTGCCCTCAGCTTCAGTGGTTGTTTTTCTCCAAACAAATATTCTCATTGTTTTATAACATTGGGCAGAAATAGTTTTTGGTGAATGAAGACGTATCGACTCTTACCTTTTTACATTTTCTGCTCAGAAAGTTACTGCTCTTTTCCTGCACAAAGGCTCTCAGCATAAACGGAGAATTTAAAGAGAAAAGCACTCAAAATTTTCAGTATTGCCTTAAAAAAACTTTTCTGTTATTATTCTTTTTGTTTAGAAAAAAACAGCAACCATTTGTATTTTGTCATTTTGTTTCTGGAAGTTTCTTTGAAAATTAATTAACCATTTTTAAAATCATTTCAATGGCAATTGTGACCTGTCTCATGCTTACAGATATTTTGATGCTGAACTATGGTTATATTTACTCTACTCAGTACCACATTCTCTTTTTCCCTTACTATACCAACTCTTAAACTGTCAATTTGTACATTCTTGGGTTTAAAATAAGAGAATATGTTTATGATATCCTCCTCACAGTGACCAAACAGACCCTTTCAACCGCAGTCCTCTCACCATGGACCAGATCAAGCCGAACGAGGACCTCAAACAGCAGATCTTACAGTGGTTGGAACAGCATCGGCAGGACAGGCAGCAGCTGGGATCCAGCGGCTAGTAGTCCCAGACTTTCGGCTGTGAAGATCATTGACTCTTCTTCTACTATTGTTTTTGCTCCTTTGCTTCAGTGGCAAATCCATACTTACCTCTGTGGATTTATTCTTACTTCTCTGCTCTAGCTGCTTTTGAATTAGCCCCTTCTGACAAGCATCCTTTTTAATTGTAACTCTCTGTGAAAACAGTCCATGCAAATTTTTACTTTAATTGTAGCTGTGTTCCTCACATAGTGCCCAGTTGGGGTAGCCCCTTGCAGGATGATGCAGCTCCTGCTTGTACGGCAACCGCAGTGGGATTCAGAGCCAGAAGCATCCGTTCAGGGTGAACTCCCATCTAACTTTTGTATTATGTAGGGTAGGTGTCTTAGGGCAAGTCATGGGTTAAAATACTGATGAAAGTGTTTGGATGAAGAATATACTATGTTCTGCCTTTAAACGTTCACAAATACTACATATAATTGATCTGTTGGCTAAATCTTAGCAGGCTCATTGTGCTCAAAATTAGCTTAAGTCAAACATAATTTAGATATTTTTGAATAAAAACAGTCCGGTTTAACTTCTTTGATGTTAAAGACCTTAAAACATTGTATTTAGATTTTAAAACCATACATTAATTAAATCAAGCTTACAGAAACTCAAAAGGTGGTCAAATCAATTGACACAGATTTAGCTCATGAACCATTAGGACTCTCTCAGATTCACTGATTCACAAGAAATACACTGTACCCTCGTAACCACACCCAAAAAATCCAACAAAAAGTGTGTTTCCTGTTGGATGAGAGGAATTCAACTATTTTAAGTCATATGAAGAGAACCAAAAATAATAAATTACAAATGCATGGATTTTTCATAACTAGTAGATTTATAGATTCCTAATTATGTAAACTGAAAATGTAGCGGCTTCTTACAGCAGTTGCAAATGCGACCTGATGGTGTTGTTACAAATCTTAAACTGGAATTATTGACAGCAATTAAACCTCTTGGATTTTCAGAGCTTTTGCAAGCTTCCCAAGACAATTTGACTGCCTGACTTTTTATCATAAATTATGGATCATTTTCAGAGAGGGGTTAGGCTCCTCCTCAGGTCCTCTTGATCCAAACAGATGAGAACATTTAACAACATTTATGTAACAGAGTCCATCTGTCTGTGTTATTTGTTTCACTGGACTTGACTGGACTCAAGTTGAAGTTAATTACCTTCACAATCACTTTAATCTGGATAAAAAAAGCAACTAAAATTGTTATAGTTACCTTGGAGGATGTAAAACATATAAAAGCACTTGCCAGCTCACTGGTGGATCCTAATTAAGCATTTTAGTGTAGAGGATTAACGTGTAGGTTGCCGGTTGACCACTAGAATTGATGCTGAAAACCCAGAGCCTTGCTTTAAATGTCAGCAGTTTAGTTTTACTCCTTTAAACACACTCACACTAATTAGTTTCTGTAAAATTAAGCAGCTTTGTAGAAGACTTGTAAAATTGAAATCGAAGAGGTTCACCTTAAATAAGAGTTATTCAAATTTGAGGAGAGGATTTATTAGCATGCTCTGATTTCGATTTAATTTTTAACCATCTTAATCATCTCATTTGAATTACAATGCAATGTTTTTGTTTGAATTGTGACTAAAAGATTATTTTGGATGTACAGTATGAATAATAAAACTTATATAAATTATAAAAGAAATGTAGTGGTTTTGTGAATATAACAGTTGTTTATGTATAAACTGAGCCTTTGTTTTCTGAATATTTTTACGTATTATAAATGAAAAAGAACAAAACGTAAGTTTTCCAGTTTTCCACAAAGTACTTTGACATAAAATTAAAGATTAAAGATTTCTGTTTGTATATGAGAAATTCAGACCCAGAGATCAAGTATGAAGATTTGCTCAGTTTTTAACTATTTTCTACGGTTTTTGAAATTTTTACTTTTCTTTAATATTTTAGTGAAGATATTAAGTCCAGAATAATTTATTCACTGGACATCAACAGTTTAATCTGTAAATCTTATTTTGGTTACTCTATTAACTACAAAAAATACTCCTTCAACTTGAGTTCCTCATCTTTTTGGTCCTTGAAGATCCAAACACAAAGTCTACATAGTGATTCTAAATGGCAATGGTTCAGACCACTGTGCAGTCTGTAACCATGTTGGACACTTCAGCGTATCCCAGAATTAGGAAAAGTTAAGCTGGCTTTAGTTTTACTACAATAATGATAGAATTTTCATATTTTTCGTCTTAAATAAAAAATTGTCTTGAACAAATAAAATCACCAGAAAATAGGCAAAGAGCGGGGTTTGTTTGCATGTAGTGGCACAACCATAGAATAAGATTAAATTTCTTAGTGTTCCCTTTTAAGCACAAAGAGGTGGTGGGGCCTGAAAAGACTTGATTAGACTTGTTTGGGCCATTTGATGTGTTCAGTACTTTATTTGCTGTAAAGAACAGAAGCTTTGGCAGCATGACAGGCAGCCTGCATTTCAAGAGGTATAAAAGCTTAACGGCAGAACCAGCAACTGGCTTACTAATTGAGATAGGTATTTATCTAATGATGCAGACATTACTTAATGTTATGTGGAGTTATATATGTAAATCTCAAAATTAAGAAAAGTTTATTCAGTTCAAAAAGTTTCCTACAGATTCATTAAGCAGTGATGAATTTCTATTGTTCATTTCAGCTAATATGATGATGTGGCTTACAGCTAAAGAAGAATACAATGGGGTTTTTCAGAAGACTAAGATAATTACATATTATTAATAAAAACTGGATTTTAAGATGGAAAGGTAAAGCCATGTTGAAAGTAAATACACTATTCTTGGTTGAAGCTTTTTGCCAGAATTTTGTGGCAGTGTAGTGTGGGGAAACTCAGGACAGCTTTGATAGTGGCCCTCATATTGTCTGCAGATTTGGTCTGGTGTTTGGCATTTTCCTCCTGACAATGCTCAATAGTTTCTTTGGGGTTAAGGTCAGTCAACTTCTATGGGTAAATAACAATTTATACCATGCTCACTAAAGGTATCTGTCCCCAACAGAGATACACTGTTTTCATTTCCAACTTAATTCCAATTTTCTCCAATACCAGAACTCTGGTTTCCTTAATATTATCAGCATTTCTGTTGATTTTTTAAGACACTGTCATAAATACATCTCTACAAGTAAAAAAAAAATGTATATCAATGTAGGTGTTCATCCCAAAATGCAACTTCAGATAAGATCAGAAATGAAACAAAAACATTAAATTGTGTTAACAGAAATAATTCCACCTTGAAAACAAATAAGCATATGTGAGGGCTTAAATTGACTGTATTTAATAAATAATATTAATAATAAATTTTATTTAAAAAGGCGCCTTTCTGGACACTCAAGGTCACCGTAGAAAAACATAAAAAGTGTCAGAAAAAATAAAAATAATCAAAGATATATTCCCATAGAGGGCTAAACCTTTCTGCTGTTCAGGAAATTTTTAACCCAATTTGTATGTATTTCTGAAATGGACTGTCAACCATACCCGAGCCAGAATTTTCTTAAATATCAAGACCGATACTGATATCAATATCCCATTGATGCATCTCTAGTCCAAAATCTGCATCTCTAGAGACATACAACATCTACAAAAATCTTTGCCATTTTCCCACTACAAATGCAAAAATTAAACTGTTAGATATAATAAATAAATCAATAAAATCTGCATATATTCCCACATTTGCTTCCACTGTTCATTTTCATTTTTTTCTTTGCACATTTGAAGAAAAATAAGTAACTTCTTAAATTATGACATTTTCAGTTAAGAGAAGCGGTCAAGCACTGTGTAATTTAGTCTGTTTATGGATTTAATCAATTTAATATTGTTTACTGACTCAATTAATCTGTGTTCGACCTCAGATCTCTTAAAAAAGCTACAGACCCGCATTTAGGTTGACTATTTACACCTTGTTGATAATAATAGCACCCATGGAGCTTGGCTTGGCCTTTGTGGAACAGAGGAAACCAGGATGCCCTCATTACGCTAAGTTGAGCCTGGTTTTATCTCTTATCCTGGAATTTCGGAATCTAGCTTTTGTGCAACGTGCCCCAGAAAAGCACGTTGTTTGCAATTATACATAAAAGAAGAAAGCCTGGAAGTTTTCCATGAATTTGCTGGTCTATCAAAATAGGAGGGTACGTAAACCCTTATTTATATAGATTTATATAGATATCCTTTAAAGACACCAAATCAAAAGAAAATAAAGCAAAGCTCATTTTAAGCTATTTTTTATTAGGGGGAGGGTCACTGCAGTTTATTGCTGGATTCACAACTAAAGAATGGCAAAAAACATGACTAACAATAAAACAAATAATGGTTGGATTGATGATAGTCACATTTAAGGAGATCTACTCCATATGACAGTGCTATAACCCATTTATTAGAAAATATTTATAGTGCTCTCTGGTGATGGCAGGCATTTAAGTATTGTTATACACATCTCCATGGTTATATGGAAGACCTTCTGGCTTATTTCAGCACCAATGGAAACTGAACCAGCACCCCTCAATGACCTGTTGACCTGATATCCCACATCATGAAGTTCCTAGAGTGACATCTGTTGGTTAATGTCAGCAAACAAGGAAGCGGCTATCATGACCCCCTGCATTTTCTTATTGCTGTGGAATTGGATTTGAAGATACATCATACACCTGCTACAACAAACCCACTCACAGGCAGACAGCACAGTGAGGATCGTGTTCTTTGATTCCTCCAATGTAGTTAACACAAATCAGCTTGACTTACTTTGTGAGAAACCCTGGGGGACTCAATTGCCTGGATCAAAGAGTACCTGAAAAATAGACCAGAGTTTGTTAGACTGAAGGGTCAACTGTCTAACCAGGTAGTCCGCAGCAGAGGAGCACCACAGGGCACAATACTGTCACTGTAGCTTTTTTTTTCTCTTTACACTTGATTCTAAATGTAAAAGAAAAAAGCGAGCAAGATGGTTGTAGATTTCAGAAGAAACTGAAACACGTCTGATTCTATTACCATCTTGGCTGAAGAGTGGGTGTAGGAGTATAAATACCTTGGCATTTACCAGCGCAACAAGCTCAACTGGAGAAGCAACTTTGAAGGCGTCTCCAAGAAGGGACCAGGCCTGTAGGTCTTAAGGAAGCTTTGGTCCATCAGTGCTTCCAGAGAGATACTGCATATCTGCTCTGAGTTTGATGTGGAGAGTTTGATCTCTTCTGTCATACCCTGCTGAGGTAACAGCACCAGAGAATATTACTTTAAGTAGCTCAACAAGTTGATAAAGAAGGCCAACTTTGTTCTAGGGACTCCTCTAGAATATCTGGAGATTAATTAACAAAGAAGAATTCCTTAGAAATAGAGGAACACTATAAACAACACTGAGCCTTATCTTTAGCTTCCTTGTATTTTAGTCAAAGGCTTCTCTAAATATGATACAAAACATATTTCTAAGAAAGAGGGGCCAGTTTGGTGTTTTGAATTGAAACAAAGTGAATTAAATAGGTTTGAATTCAAGTGAACTGACATTGATTTAACTAGAATTGAGTAAAATAGGGGCACCACGGTGGTGTGGTGTTCTGGGTTTGAATCCCGGTAACCAGGACCTTTCTGTGTGGAGTTTGCATGCTCTCCCTGTGTCTACGTGGGTTTTCTCTGGGATTCTCTGGACAGTCCAAAAACCTGCATGTTAGCTTGATCACTCATCTCTGAGTGGCCCTGCAATTGACTGGCGGACCATCTAGGATGTAGTCCAGTTCAGATCGCCATATGCTTCAAAAAAACAGCAAAAAGTAAGTAATAAAATATTTTTTTTGTACATGACTAAAGGAATACACGCCCTTTTAGGTAGTTTTTCGTACAAAACTAAAGGGATAAATTATAGGGATAAACGGGTTCTGACTATGGGTATGTTTGTGTGACTGGGTATGCTCATCTGACAGAACACCAGCGATCAGGTGGATGTTTAAGAACGCCATACCTCCTAATTTTGGAAATAAGAGGGGTAATGTGGAAAAAAGCATAACTTCTTTTTTAAAGAAAATTTGAAGTTTGAAGTTCTCTATGAGTTCAGTGCTATTGTGCTTTTATCCAATTGTTTTTTTTTATCCCATTGACGTTAAAAACCTCTTTTTCAAGGGAGTCCTGGCCAAGAGGCAGCAAATTTATAGATTGAACAGAAATACATTAACTTTACATTCAAATGACAGGTACATAATAAAGACTAGGTGCTTCTTCGCTCCAAAAAATAAATAACTAAAAACAGGCCTTATTAAAAGAGAAGTAACCCAATTTAAATTGTAATTTCCTCACAAGTTTACCAATAAAAGTTTACCAATAAAAGGTCATGTCAAAATGTACCATGACAAAGCAGCCACAACAAGCAAGCATGTCTTAATAACTACCGTTCAAAAAAGACCTATTATTTTTGGTAAAAAAAAAAAAACAACAACTTTGAGTCGTGTTTGAACTGATGCAGTTTGGGCTTGATGCAGCACAGGTGTTTTTCTCTATCAATTTTTTATGTATATATTCAGAAACTATAAGATGTTAGCTTTCAAATAATGTATCACACATGTAATTTGGGCTTACAGTTCCTGAGTTATTTGCTTTTCCATTTGGGTATGCAAAATAAGTGAGAATTCCCCAAAATGAGGTGGATATTCAGAGGATAAATTCAA